AAGCCAGGAAATTTCAGTTTTGACAATATGGGACCTTTAAATCAGCGTAGGCTCTGCAACTGCGCAGGTTGTGCACTATTCCATTACGGGCAGCACTGATTCTGTGCACATCTTCGTCATTACGCTAAACATGGAGAATTTGGAACAATGGTGTTTTGAATTACGTGATAAAAAGCAGTTTTAAACGTTTTATAAAATACATAACCTAAATGTGCAAAACTTTACGTTTTATTAACAAATTATATGTAATATATAATTATTTAACTTACACTGGAAAGTTTTCCGCGACATCTCGCGAGGTCTGGCCAAAAAATCTCACGATTTATATCCAGAACATGATGCATGATAGGATACGCTTAGCCTCGAAAACCGCTCTGAAGCGGTATTCAAGATAGTGTGGGTTTAGTGTGCATCAAGGGCACTGCACTTGGGCAATTTAAAACATGGGACAGTCTTGCGCACTTACTTCCTGACACGTGCACGTGCTCTCAAGTGGCCAAGATCGCAAGTGTGGGTATTTGGACAGAGATAGTGTGTGTGTGCTATTCTAATAGTCCTACTAATATGAGGCAACTGTGAACTGGTAATGAGTGCTGATGAGTCCGGGCAAAAGATTATGGGAAATGGAGTCCTGAGTGAATAGCAAGGTTCAGAATGGAGTGCCCTCTAGGGCTCATGGGCACTCCAGCTGGAGATCATGACACTTTATATATTTTTTTTGTTTCTGATAATTTTTGTTTCTTTTAATTTTGTTTAGCCTGTCAAGGCACCTTTTAAGAGCTTATATTTAGTTGTGGGTATCAAAAGAGTGATGGAGAACTATGTGTTTTTACTGAACACTTATTTCCATATGTGAATGAAGAGCAAACAAATGTCCAAATGGAAATAAATCTCTGTCGAATATTTTGCATCAGAGAAAAGGTTTTGCATGAAAAGTAATGTATAAATATAAATATACAAATATGTGTGTTGGGATCATTCACTCTGCCTGTTGCTGCAGGTATCTGCTGGGATTTTGTCATGAGTTTTGTCTCACATTTTAATGCTTAAGCTCTTGTTTATTTAATTGTTTGTGGAAAGAACATATAGAATAACAACAGTTTCAGGTTCCATACATACTTTAAATCCATCACCAATGGATAGGCTGTTTCAGTTGCTTTTTTTCTCAGGTGAGTATTTTTTAACAATGTTTTAGTAAATATGTCTTTAAACACTTTTGAAAAATAAAATAGAATCCCAGATTTGTGCTTTGACACTATTCATTCTCACAGGTCACTGGGACTAGTTTTTGCTCTAAAAATACATAAACATGATCAAGTGGCTGAAATTAAAATATGTAACCAAAAGTAAATTTCTGAAGCTGTAATTCACAATAACTTCAGTGAAAATCTAAAAATATCACTTATTGGTAGCATATAAAAGTATTTTTACTTATAGTCAGCTAGTTGTTCCAGTGACTCACCATTAAGTGGATTATTTCCCTTTTTGAGAGTTGCACCAGAAGCTTTCAGGAAATGCATTCATCCTTGTATGCTTTTATCTTTGGTGACGATGTATGTACAAAATGTGCATCTCTTGTTTGGGAGTTAGCCATATGGGGGCTGCGCTGAGGGACATGACCACCCTTGCTGCAAACTCCTGAGTAAAATAATAATCCTTGAACAGCATGTCAGAATGTTTTCTACTGTGCTCCACATATAGTATAATTCCATTCACGAGTTCACACTTACATATAATAAACAGAGTAAAGGTTATGCGTATTTGGCGTGCTGTCCGAGGGGAGGGCTCCGAGCTCAGAATTTGGCCCAAACCCGCAGTACCCCCCAAAAAGCAACAGAGCAAAGGACAGCCACCCGACTGATGGATGATGGATGAGGAACAGTATGATTTGGGGCGCTCGATCGGGAAGCCCCCACTGCTTCTTGATGGGAGTAGCTCGCGGCATTAAACCGGTGAGCCCTACCGACCGATAGAGGAGGAGCAGCGTGTTTTGAGCTGTCAGACCGGGGACCCTTACTGCCTCCAACGGGAGCAGCTTGCAGCGCTGGGAAGATGGGCCTCACTAGCCGATGGACGAGGAGCGATGTGATTTGGGAAGCCTGATCAGGAGGGCTCACACCACACTCTTGACGGGAGCAGCTCTCAGCATCAGACAGGTGAGCCCTACTGGACAATAACGGAGTGGACGGGGCTCGAATCGCCTGAGCGGGAAGGTCCATGAAGCTTTGACGGGAGCAGCTCCCGGCGTCAGATGAGTAGACTTTACTGACCGATGGATGGGTTGAACTAAATTTTAAGTGCCCAGCTGGGAGAGCTTCGCAGCATCCGACGGGAGTTCAATACTCACGGCGTCGGATGGTTAAGTCTCGCCGGTAGATGGACATAAAAGGCAAGGTTTGCTTGACCGGGAGGCTCTCGCAGCATCTGATGGGTAAGCCTCGCCGGTAGACGGACGGAAAAGGCAGGGTTTGCACGACTGGGAGGCTCTTGCAGCATCCGATGGGAGTTTAATACTCACAGCATCGGATGGGTAAGTCTCGCCAGTAGTTGGATGGAGAATGTAAGGTTTGCTCAAATGAGAGGCTCTCGCAGCAACCGACGGGAGTTCAATATTCAAACAAACAATTTGAGTTGTCTAAGAGGGTAGATGCTACGAGGATCACTTATGCGTAATTGTTCGACAAAATCCAACAGACTGCTTCTGATAATACGTCAAGAAATCTTGGGGCTGCTTTTCATTCAAAAGTCTACAGCAAAATAGAATTTCTTGTGCTAGCATACCCCGAATAGGTGGCATGAATCTGGATGGATAGGCATCCCTTTGAAAGCTGAGGTGATGTCGACTTTGGCCAGCCAAGTGCCAAAACCCACTATTTTTATCATATCGATCACATGATCGATGTCTTGCTATTTGAGAGAAAGTTTGTCAAGAGGAATCAAGGTGTTTATGCTTGAAAACGAGGAGTTATGCAGAGCTGACAGATTGATTAAAAGGTTTTTCTTACCCAAGTATTTTCCTAATAGCCACTCCAATGGGCTAAAGCAAAAACTGAGAAGGCGGAGCACTGAAAGGGCTGATCAAGAAGCCTCATTTAGTTTGCGCTGCCTATGGGGTAAGGCTGAACACATTATTTCATTGAAACAGCTGAACGCAATAGAAAACTCTTAAAATGGCAATTTTTAAAGTAACTGAAAAATCCCTGCAGTCTATTGGCAGTTGGAATCAGACACGGGAAGCAGGGAAAGTAAAGATGAGAGTAGGGTTGTTACAATTCCTTGATTCAATTAGAGTATGGTTTTAAAAATCCTTGATTGCAATTTTCCGTGTCGAGTAACCGGCAAAATACCGGAAGTGGCACATTCCACGGATAAGAATCCATGAATTACATTATTAGACTGTTTCTAAGACTGCATGATATATTAAACCAATTTAAAATCATAAAGCATAATACTATTGTGAATTCACAAAAGCAACATAAATGTTATTTAGCCAAACAAATATTAGATCACACAGTGATCCTCTGTAGGCTTTTATTATATAATGCTTAATGTACATTATATTGTTTATAATACATTATGTTAAGTTTTGTTCAACAAAACCATATTGTTACTTGCTTTAGATACTTTATTTAAACCTATTATGGCCTCATTGCTATTATCTATGTATTTTATGTAATTTTAGAGGCTATTGTTGATTAGGCCTATTTTTATTACCATAAAAATATACAATTATCCAATTAATTATCAGAATAATCTACTGGTACTAGGATCTGTGCTCGGATGTTGTGAGCCACTGAGGTGGCTCCGAGGCGACAGCATTTGGTGGGACAGGCAGTAAGGTTGCAGTGAAAAGAGAATATTGTGACTCTGAATTAAGTAGAGAGCTGTGAGGGAGAGGAGCAGGAACCACAATTGTCAGCGGAGGCAGCCTCACGCTTAAATCGGCCTCTGGGCTAGTGTCTTCTATGGGAGCTGGAGGCCACTGAAAAGAAAAAGGGTTATAAGTAGCGGGAGGAAAAGACTGAGATGTGTGGGCCCGTGTTGCAAGCGGAGGCAGCTTAACGCTTACTTCAGCTGCAGTAGGCCACAGGAAGTGAGTGGGGTTTGTGACATCTTGAAGAGACCGTGTAGCCTACACCGCTAGTGGAGGCATACTCATGCTAGCATCTGCTATGGGAGCTGGAGTCCACTGAAAAGGAAAAGGGTTAGAAGTAACCGGAGGGAAAGACTGAGATTTGAAGGCCTGTGTTGCAAGCGGAAGCAGCTTCACGCTTGCTTCAGCTGCTGTAGCTGTAGGCCGCGGAAAAGGGGAGGGGTTTGGGACATTGAGAAAAATGCTGGAGAGCCTGTGCAGCCTGGACTGCTAGCAGAGACAGCCTCACGCTAGCGTCTGCTACGGGAGCTGGAGGCCACTAAAAAGGAAAAAATGGGTTAGAAGTAGCAGGAGGAAAGTCTGAGATGTGAGGGCCTGTGTTGCAAGCGATGGCAGTCTTGCGCTTGATTCAGCTGCTGTAGCTGTAGGCCGCAGGAAAGTGGAAGGGTTTGTGACATTTGGCGGAACAAGCTGAAATGCCTGGGTAGCCTGCAATGTTGCCAACTAAGCAATTTTGTTGCTAGATTTGGCAATTTCTCAGGCCTTGTCCACACCAATACGTTTTTATTTGAAAATGCATCTTTTTCCTCTCTGTTTTGGCCTTCCATCCACACTGAGACATTCTGTCAAGGAAAATGTACCTTTTTTGAAAATGCTCTCCAAAGCGAATAAATTTGAAAACGCTGTTTTCACGTTGTAGTGTGGACTGTGAAAATTGAGGCTTTTGAAAATGATTTACCATGTTTAGTCATGTGACACATATTGGCCGCACGATACACGATGGCGCCGACGGTGATGGCTGCCTCCGTGGCGTGCTCCGCAGTTGTTTTTGTTAGCTTGTCCCGTCTTTAGTTATATCCCTGCAATCAGTTTCACCAGAGACAAATTGCTGGACATTCAGAAGTACACACCACCCGATATTTCACCGGTTTTCGACTATTCGGATGTTTTGCTGGACATTGTTGTCGGGGGAGCTGCTGCGCTGATCAAGCGCTTCAGGTCGCGCAGACGGGGGAAGCGAGCCGGTGCGCTCGTGAAGCTCAGACAGATCAAGCGCTTCAGGACGCGCAGACGGGGGAAGCGAGCCGGCGCGCTCGTGAAGCTCAGACAGCGTGGATTCAGAACGCCGTTGCCTAGCGTCCATCTGGCCAACCTCCGCTCTTTTCCCAACATAACGGACGAACGTCTTCTGCTCT